TAAACTTTGTCAGTGGATGCACTGTAGAACACATCAGGTGATACAGGACATGCTTCAGAATAGTCATAGGAAGAACAATCTAATTTTGAATTAAATTAGAGTGTATTTTTAATGAAGTCACCAAGTGTCAAACCATCTGTGAAATAAATTTTTGAGACAATTTTTGTTCCAAGCAATATCTGTTCTAATGGATGACATTCAAAATCAATAATTTTCTCAGTGAACATTTCTCCATTTCAGATGATTCTGTTTGCATGAACTATAAAATTACTGGCTTATACTAAAATTTATCAGCCTCATTGAACTTCGGTACATAGGCACTTTAAATTGTAGCTTAACAGTAAGTTAATTTCTAGCAGTTTCAGACTAGGAAGAATTTACTTTTTCTTTTTTAGTTAGTGGAAGTGTAATATCAGAATGATACAATAAAATCAATGGCAGATGAGATTGACCCATGAACAGAGCCACTTTACTTAACATAAATTTTTAACCTTTATGTGACAGTGTTTAAAGTGATAAGTACTGTGGGTTTTAAATATACTGGTTAGGTTATGTTGCAGCAGAGTGCAGTGTATCATAAGAATGCATTATATTTATTATTCTTGAAAGCTAGAAAGTCAAAGTAAAAGCTGTATTATAAAGAGTGAATTTATTTACTGGAATACAGAATTGGAAATAACTTGTCTTTATGTTTGCAGCTTAGTTTTATGTTCCTTTCTCATTTTTATTGCTGTTCCTACAAAATACAGAAATAATCATGGGTTTAGGGTCGGAACTGTATTGCAAGTAATCTTATAATTCCTTATCTGCTTGTTTGTTAAGTTTGGTCTATGATGAGGTTCTCATATTAGTGAAGATATATATGGTGATCTTATTCATTGTGAACTTGGAGGTTGGTACGAACATTTCAGGGCTGAAGACTAAGGTGATGCATTCCTCCAAAACATTGGTACCCTACCACAAGTCCACATGGTGTCATATCCCAAAAGACCAAGATTGTTCTAGCTAATGGTGTGAGGTTCCATAGTAACTGCTACATGTGCTGTTCAATGAAGGAGCTTCAATTCATTTGCAAGCAGTTGGAAGTTGTATGGACACTATGAGAATGACTGTGCTCAGAGCACTTTCATAGGGGTATCTGAGCACGGACATGTGGCAAAGAGGAATGTCCATCAGCCACTGGTGATAGTGATATGACTGGCAACAGACCGAATATCATCCCTACCCCTGTTTCAATGAGCATCTGACTCCTTACAGAATTTTCACATTGCATTTTGCAGCCATTACATTTCTGGTTGTGGAGAAGACCAACTGATAGTTCTGTTCTTGATGATTCATGTTCAAATGGCATATGACCTAGAAAGATGACTGAACAGGCAAATAGTGACTATTGACAAAAAATTATAAAACTATGCAGTCTGTAACTTGCAAATTACAATTAGTACGCCCCTTTCAATATATCTGGCCGTCGGCTAAGTTATAGTGCTTTTCAAAACAATACATCACAAAGAAACAAATGTATCAAAATCAAAATTTACACACTGTGATTTAAGAAAAGCATGAAGATTAGCCAACAGAATGCAAATTAATAAAGTACCACATGTGATCTATGCAATAATAATCAGCAGGGGACAATATTTCAATGTCCATAGTACAATGTGGAGTTGGATGTTGATCCCTTTGATCTCTCTTTCAGGCTGTATCACACCAAACTGCACTTTTGAGAATGTCAGCACTGCACTGGAAAAATCATATCACACCAATGCAAGTAATGACATCGTTTCCATTATTTTAGTGGTATCTTTTGAATATAAATATCTTTTTAAAATAAACGGACTAGTGAGAAAATCATAGGTATATTTAAAATGTTTGTGGACCAGGAAAGGGAAAATGACAAGAGAGAACTGTAAACACTCCATATCACAATTTTTTACAATCTGCAACTTGTAATTAAGTCAATGCCTTAAAAACAAGAGATTTAGTTACAAATAAATCTGTGACAATCTTGGAAGTTTCAAGAAGAATTTTAGACACACTGTGTAAGTAAATTTCTGTTAATAAAAATATAATAAATTTGTAATGTTATCGGACATTCAAGCCTGAAAGAAACACTCAGTGTTAATTGGATTGAAACTTGTATAAATCAAAAATTAAACTGGGCAAAGAGAGAGAGAGAGAGTACAGTTTAGTAGAATAATGCGAATGTGAAGATAATATTAAAATGGAAGGTGTGACAAAATGGATCGAGTTTGCTATGAGGAGGATGATGAACTTTCAGGTTCCATTGTGATACTATCAACTGCTTAAGACAAACTCAATACCATGGAGCTAAATACAATTGTGAATTAATTAATGTCTTCCAGTTTTTTGTAATGAGACGGGGTAGCTCAGTCAGTATAGCGACTGACTACAGACTGGATGACCTTGGTTTGATCCCTGATGGGGGCAGAGAATTTTTCCTCTAGCCTCTGAATCCAGACCCACTCTGGGGCCCAACCATCCTCCTGTCTAAGGGGTACCGGGTCCTTTTTTGGGGGTAAAGCATGGCTGGGGCATGACACTAACCACTCACCCCCACCTATTGCCTAGATTAAGTATGAGTAGGAGCTATACCTCCTCTCCCCCCAAGCACCTACATGGCATATAATGGGACAGCTTTACTTTACTTTTTTTTTACTTCCAATTTCTGAAATTACATCATCATTTAATAACCACGTGTTCTGTTTTCTTGGTAATATTTTAGTGAAAAGGGTTTGGTGTTGAAAAGTTAGCATAGATGCACTCTGAAAGCTGTCCCATTTTTAGAAACCTCATTTATTAAAAGTATTAAGATGAACAAGAGAGGAATATACTCCATAATGGAGTACAAAACTTCCAGACATTCTTAACCATGTTATAGCACTGGCCATTGGCACCCACTTGACTTTGGTGCAGTACAAATCGAAGTATGGTATAGCTGTTGAAGAAATAAAATTACATACATAATGTGTTTATTTCATGCCAGTAATTGTTTTAGAAATTTATTTTATATAATTGTATTTATGTTTGTAGAAATAGTTTCTTTAATTACTTTATCATAATTATAAACAGCAAGTCTTGAAGAAGAAGAAGAGGAGGAGTTTCTCAAAATTTGCACAACCCAATTAATGAAACACCTCAGTTTATTATAAGGAACCCCCCCCCCCCCCCCAGGTTCATTAAATAGAGGTGTCACTGTTCTATATTTATGGTTAACCATTTACTTTAAATACAAAAACTTATAATTGTCACCAAATGTGATGATTTACCGATCCAAAATATCATAATGCTGCAAGATTTTTGGGGGTTGAAAGATTCAGAATTTGTGTTCTTTTAGTATATTGTAAAGGTGGCGTGGGCTGCTGTCAACATCACACACAACTCCGAGTCGTACATTATAAACAGATATGTACCTGTATGCTTTTATATATGTATTTATCATCTGTTCCTTATTGAATAACAATAATTGATACTTTTGGATTTTCTTTATTGAAAATCATAAATTACAAAACACTGAAGGTGTTTTATTAAAACAATCAGCCATTTGTACTTTCACTGGATATCACAAGGCTATGTTGTTGAAGTCCTCAATGACTAATTTTGATACACAGTGCTTATAAAACAAAAACTGCAAGGTGAGGTCCTGAGACCAGTTGGCAGTAGTATTTCTGGAATCATCATGTCCAAGGATTGGGTCCTTGGCCCATTTTGGACAGATGCTCAAAGCAACTTGTCATATTAGTGCCTCAGAGTAGCAGATGACAAGCCTGCTGCCTCCATACAATGTCTTCTCATTCCTGATTTATCTGGTAGAGCCATGTAGTAGGAACTCAGAAGACACATGGCCACTGAATTTTGCTTATGAAACGTCTCTTTCATGCTGTAAATCCATGACATGGGACCACCAGCTTTACTTCTCTCCTGAAGGAAGTCATGGTACATATTTTTATCACCCTTAAAAACCCACTGACCTCCACCAGGCATTGAACCCTGCAAACCTTGGGTCCAGTGGCAAGCACGCTACCACTAGACCACCAAGGGTGATTTATTTCTGGAATCTTGTGTAGAAATTCTCCCAACTTGCTTTCCATACAAGACATTGATATTTGTTTTCTAAAGGTGAAATTATCTGTGCTTAAGCACCTGATATTTAGAAATTATTTGAAGAGTGAAAATTACTACTCCATGACAGACTTTCAGATCTTCATATATAGGAAAATGTAATAACATTATATCTATATTTTGTGTTCTTGGACTCTGCTCCCCTTTTGAAGAAATGCCTGCAGTATACAATTAACAATACAGTCAAATGTCCAAATATGCAGAGAGTTTACAAAGAGCTTATTTTCCAATTGTATAATGGTAGTTTACAGTGATGAAAATGTCTTTAGTTAGTTAAGGATATGGTGTATTTATTGTATAATCAGTATCGCACGGACTTCCACAAGAGACAGTTAATAATAGTGCTATTTGTTTAGTACATGTGGTACCAGCTCATTAATCTGGGTTTTGAAGGCATCTGTCACTTGCAAAATTCAGAATTAATTATAATATTCACTTAAATAATTATTAAATATATTATTCACATAAGTCAATCATAGAAACCACACGCATTGTACACTCCATGATCACTTTTCAACACACAATATAAAAATCAACATTATGGGCAGAGGCAAGTATGAAGTAGCTTAATATGTGTACAAAATTTGTTTGCAAACTGGTCATAAATTTGTGTAATATATATATTTTTTATTTTATCTATACAAAAAATTTAGGGCCAGTTTAACAATTTTATATTTGTTGTTGCTCTTTACACATGAATTATGTGTGACTTCCTGTAACACATATCCACAGCAATAGAACCCAATGAGTGGTGGTAATGGATCTAAATAGCAGTGATGTTCCATATCTTGGTATTACAGTCTTGTCCAACCGACACCAACGTTCCATCATCAAGCCAGGCTAGGCGTGTGATCTGGCTCTGTGGATGAGCATCTGATGGAGAAACAAGTTATTAGCATAGGGCATTTATTTATGTCTTGCAACATTGCTGCTGTTCAACTTACTTCTCTGATTGTTTACATTCAGCAAGGGAATGGAATCATCCATTAGACTGCATCTCCTGCTGACCTGATATGAAGCCCACTATTATGCTGCACTCTGCATGTATGGAATAAATAGTGCAGCACCTTTCTTAAAAACCCACATACAAGAATGAAACAAAACTGGAAAGTAACATTCACTGCAGTACAATGACATTCCAAAGATGATCTTCATGCTGTATCACATAGGCCATTGCTTAGCAACAACGTGTTAAAACAATGTCCTTAAGTCATTGTTTCACTAATGTGATTCTAGACAGATGCTGAATGTGTTCCAATGCTGACCTTGGTTCCCACTGTTGCACAAGTGTCTTACAACAATGATCATGTGTTGCCTACCTCTTAGGGAAAATATTATGGACAGATACAGAAAGGTCCATAAAGCATTCTTTGCTCATCCTGGAGTATGAAAAACCCCTAAAAAATACACATCATTCACAAAAGGCTATTTTACCATTTGTAGCTGCATCTTAAGTGATGTTCCACAAGATTACTTCAAATTGAGAAGAAAATTACATGTATCTGCTGTTGGCACTACCATACATTAATACCAACAGTGGAAACATTGTGATTTAATTAAAAGGACTATGTTGAATGTGGACACATCATGTAACTTCATCTTTCTCTCTCTCTCTCAACTAACACTAGCAGAATTTGTTCTGTTACATATACATACAAGCCAAGGTTAGGTTCAGTTCCGTGTTACAATTTCCAACACACAGAAATACAGTCTATCATCACTTAACTCAGGGCCAAGATTGAGCCCAGGAACTTCTGAATATGAAACAAGAGCACTAACCACTCTACCTCGGTGTACAGTCAGTACCATAAATAACCAAATACTAGGGACAGTGTTATGATGTTCTATACGTATCAACTGAAGAAGAGATGGCCTGTGATATATAATATTACTGACAAGTGAAAGTTAAAACTCACTCTTGATGATGGTGTGTTTAGCTGGGTTCAGAACACTCCAGATGATAATGGTTGTGTCTAAGCTTCCACTAGCAACAAGCTGGGAGTTTGGAGACCAGGCCACGGTGTTGACTCTTGCATTGTGAAAACCCCATTCCTTGTTGTGGGCAAGCTGTGATGCAACAATGATTTACAAAAATCATTACAATGCTGTACAAATTTCATTTGCACTTCTTCCTTAATTTCAGAATTTGAAGACAAAGAGATGCTTTAATTTGAGTGTGAAATGTATAGTGGTGTTTCTTAAACCCTTAAGCTTTTAGCAGGTTGATGTTTTTAAAATACACAAACATTCACACCACACTATGCAGTAAACATAGTGAGGTACTTTTCACGGTAATGAGCTGTGGGCTGCAAGGAACTTGTCTGAAGAACCACTGAAGCTATAAACTGAAAACACTAATTCACCACTAAGATATATCAGTGAGAGGTGGTAAAAGTGGGAATGCTGAAGGCAGTGAATGTGAAAGAGATTATGACAAATTTGAAGATTGTAAAGCTGAGAAAGAAGATAGTAATGGTGAAGAGAGACAGGCTGATATGAGAAACTGGACAAAGGCTAGTGACTTCAAGATCACATAAAAGGAAACTAACTCAATAAATATAATGTGTATGTCTCAAGTATTTACTAACTTTCACAAGTTTGTTTGTAATAACTGTGAAATTAATATATAAAATGTTTCTCTTTGTAGACATGTTTCTTGGTTACCAGCCATCTTGGTTTCAGAGTTGTTCTCCACTTGGGTAATAAGGACAAGCAAACAAAAGACTACCATAACAACAAAAATAATGTGTTACTTACTTTCTGTATATGATTCCCAGGATTGCATTAGTGAAATGGAAATGAGGTAAGTATGGTTAATATTATGCAAGCATAAGCATTGGGATGCAAATCACTCCAAGCCGGATTATACTTTACAATCAAATGTACACATAAAAAGAGGCATTGGTGAATACCTGAACTTCCAGATTTGGAGGTTTGTTGTACTTTGAATAAAGTTAGCTGTTTTATATTTATACAGGCATTCTGAATGATATTAGACAAGAAAAATTTCAGAATGCATACTTCATGTTGACAGAGGTAATGGTGATGCAGGAAATTCAAATTTGCATGATCATTTTCATGCTAGCAACTGCTAAAAAGTATGTACTGAAATACATATGAACTTATACAAGACAGGAAAGAACACCACCATCCAGCAAAGGCTCACAGAAGCAATATTAGAACAATGAACTCCCTTTGTGTGGAGTTTTCAAAACTACATTAATCTGTGCTCTATACCATATATATATATTTCTACATTGTATGGAGTGACTGTAAATTAAAGTATAATATAAAAAGCTTATAAATTTGTATTCAGGTCACATATTGGAAAATGAGCTGTTCCACACTTATTTTTGTAAGTGCTCAATATGGAACATACATCCCATCTCAGTGGTCTTGTTCCGTACTCTACACAGCGCATCATCAGCATCACTCACTGCTACAGATTCTGTCTCGCAGCTCCTGTAGGGAATATAAAAATAAACATACAAACAAACTGTTTGTTTGTATGTTTATTTTTATATTCCAATACACTACAGGGTATGCAAAGTTTTTATTATTATTATTTATTTACTGCAATTGGGTTTGCACCCGGTGGCAGTGGTCCTTACACGACACAATTACAACAAAATACACACAATAAAAACAAGTACACTCCATAGAACACCCTACACATAACTAGACATCCACCCCTACAAAAGCATCCACACCTTACACAGACATACATACACAAAATACAAAAACACACATCCATTAATTAATAACAATACTAAGAATAAAATATAAAGTCAGACCTCAGTACATGAAACTTTTATCCCAAAGAAACTACAGCCCTTCATCACTTGGAGACTAAGACACTTCACTTCCCTTATCACCATCTAATCCGTACTTAATAACCCTTTGCTTCTGGCCCTCTTTCTAAAGGTGCCTAATTTACAGGGGAAAGACTCTAGCACGCCTGGAGGTAATTGGTTCCAGCTTTTTATGGTCCTATTTACAAAGGAATATTTGCCAACATCCGTTATTTGTTTCCTAGTCCTAATTTTCCGACTATGATCGTTATGTTATTTCCCTGCTGGAGTATACGCATTACGAAATGGAGAGCCTTCCATGCTTTAATTAGTGTATAATTTACATGATCTGCCCAGCTCAGATCGCTGCTAATAAGTATTCCTAAGTACTTGAAGCTATTTGCCTCTGAAATTAATTGATCCTCAAAAAGATACCTCAGCCTATCCTTCACCCTAGCTCTATTGGAGCTTACTGCTTTACTTTTACCTGGATTTATCTTCATTTCATTTTCTATCACCCATTCCCATGATCTATTCAAATCTGTCTGTAACTTATCAATGTCACTACTATCCATTATTTTCCTGTATATTATACAATCATCAGCGAAAAGCCGTATATTTTAATCAATGTTTTTCCAAATATCATTAACAAAAGCGAGGAATAGTAAGGGACCTAATATGCTCCCTTGCGGCACTCCTGACGTTACACTGACTCCATGAGATAGTTTCCCGTCCACTCTAACTCTTTGCGAACGTCCTAAGAGAAATGCCTTTACCCATACCACTACCCTCAAGTCCACACCGGTTGCAGCAATTTTTGTAATCATGTGGTACTAAATCGAAGGCCTTTGAAAAATCTATTATAACTGCATCAGTCCTGATTCCCTCGTCCAATGAATCAGCAATATCTTGACAAACTGTGACTACTTGACTTTCGCATGAGTACCCTGTAAGGATTTTTAAACAGCCCGGGAACTAAAAATGAAGGAGATGTGAGGTCAGGTGAATGTGGCAAGAAAAAATCCATGATGTGGTACTGAATATCAATGCTATGTAGAGTATCGGATAAGATCGCATTCAGGTATGATATGTGCCACATAAACCATGGAAGCCACGTTGAGTACCTTTGAAAAATACTTGAATGTTAGGCCACTGATGTGGAGCAATTTGTTTTCAAATATGTAACCTGAACAGAAAGTCACATGCCTTTTAAACTGTACTTCAATTTGTGATCGATCGTGATGTATTATATTTTATTGCTGACACGCCATAAGAATGCATTCTCCAGTCACAGTATAGTCTGGGCTAGTGACATCACTGTTATATAAGCCACAAACTAATGCATTCTGTAATAAACCATATATTTATTGCAATCAGCCCAAACATGGAAGCTTCAAAACCAAAGGCTGTACCACAACCTCTTACAAACACGTTTTGTGCACATAACATTTAAGTCTTTCATAAAATGTACTTAATACTGTAATTCATGTTCTTTAGAAAACAGAGTTATCTGCAAAGTACAAAATACTGCATTATTTATTACATGTTTTTATAAGCAAGTTACAGGGCCTCTACTGCCTGTCATACCTGACAATGCATAAAAGTAAGGGATGCTTACTTTGTATGTGCTATAAAGCAGCACTTAACTACACTGTCACCCCCCCCCCCAAAAAAAAAAAAGCAGTGGCAGTGGACATATCTGCTGAGGACACAATCTGCCATCCATCAGCAAAGGAGCTGGAGCAGTGTGGACATGGCGGTTACCTGATAATCTGGCAGTTTGTAGAGGATGACCTTCCTATTGGCATCACATGCCACCAGGTACTGGCTATCTGGTGAGTATGAACAGTCTGTCAAAGGACCAAGATGCTCCAGTTCTGCCTTTGGACTTAGGTTTGATCCCAGTAGTGTATAAATGTGAATCTAAACTCAAACCAAATATAATTAAATTTATCTGACAGTCTTCAATTAAATGGTATCCTCTTTTTATATGCTTACTCACTCTTGATACTTTACAAAGTATAAAGGATAATTCTAAAATGTTGGAAAGCTTACTAAAAAATACAAATTGTAACATATAATGAACTTTCAAAAAATGAATAACAGTTTAAAATTCACAAAACAACAATGTTATGGCCATTTTCCAACTTGCAGCACAGGAATGCTGGCAAGTCAACACGGTGAGCACTGGCCTGTGTGGTAACAGTGTGAAATGGCTGCATGGCCTCGAAGCATCCAATTTCATGACAGCTACTACAGTATCATAAACTGTAGAGATAGCTGGCATGAGAATTCATTTAAGAAGGTCAAATTAAGGTTCAGTAACGCTAATGACATTATATATGAAAAAGTCTGAAAGTCATTTAACAGTGAAGTATGTTCAATACAATGAACTTGAAGAAAGATTAAGATAGGAAGGGCAGCATTTGCTTGAAATCCTTTAATGATATGAAATTGCTATAGGAAGGGAAAACCAAACTGCAATTACTTTATTGTCCAAAGCTCCTCCCACTGCTACATCTGGGTGTTCACTGTTGATGGACACGCATGAAGGTTCATAAGTGACGGGAAGGCTGGACACTTTCCTTCCTCCCTGCAGAATTGATATCTGTGGGCAGCAGAACAAGAATCTAGGCACTTGACAAAATGCAACTCTAACATATGTTCTGAAATAATCATAAAACCTACAAGTTTAATATTCTGCACTTGAATATCACATGCTGTATGAACTATTGCGCTTATTACTGTTTGACCACGGACCACACAAAGCAACACCAGTAATTCAAATAAATTATTATTTCATGTCCATGTACATCAAGATTAAATTTATTTCATTAACTTCATGCTATTCATTTATGTATCATACCATAAATTAAGATTTTTTGCCTTAATTACACATTCATCTGTTCATTTTAGAACACTGTATCAAGTACTGTGGTTGTGTTATACCAAATTGAATATGAAGCTATTGTGACCTATTTTTAGGTAATATCCTGACATTAACTTATTTTCAAACATGTCAAAATACAAAACCTCAACTCCATACTTAGGATGGCACTACCGTTGTTCCCATGGTGACAATGATCTACTGTGGATGACAGGAAGTTGGAAGGTACATACATGAGGTGAACTTCAATGGCATGCTGTTCATGCATACTTGCAAGAAAACTAGTCAATTGGTGTCTTAAAATGAAACGAGTGTACAAACAGAACCTTCTAGTTATGTTTCACAAGATGGAACTTGACATGAGAGCTACTTATTGAGCAAGAGCCAGGGAGGCCAAGTTTTATGGCAATAAATACAATAATGACTAACAATGCAAAATATTTAAGTTACATAAAATGCATTACTTGCAGAGGGGAGCATAAATTTGGACCTGGAGTGAGATGTAAGCATCAGTGATGTGGTACATGGACATTACAAACATAACAAGAGACGCTGAAGAAGTTAAGGATTAATGGTATGGACATGCAATTATATGAATGACAATATTTTTCCCTTGAGAGGTTCAAAGATGAAGATGTCCAATGAATGAGAACTGGAGAGGCAAAGTAATGGAAAGCACACAGATGACAGCAGTGAAAAGATGGCACAAGAAAGAGTGCTCATGGAAGAAGAATGGTGAAGTCCTTCATTACAGGTGGATGGCAACCTCAGAATACAATCAGCTGCATTACTTACCTCTTTGACAGAACCAGTGACTATGGTATCACCTTTGACGTCCATACTACGAGGCTGAGATCCCAGCTTAATGTCAGCACTTGTATAACTATTAGACACAATATCTACTTGCTTCACACTATCATCAATGCCACATGTGTAAAGCGAGTCACCTATTATCTTCATGCCATTGATCTGGTTCCCATGTCCAACCCCTTGGATCCGATCATTCTCTCCTGCAATGGTAAGAAATAAATGCACAGCATTCCTTACTAAAATACGTGCACAGTGGAGCCAATTCATTAAGCATCTTACAGCATTCATTAACATGATTTTGAATTAACAATAGAACAACCATTTTTTGTGCACTTCAAGCGTAACACCTTAGAGCCCAGTGGTAACTATTAATACGTACCACCTGCTTTTAGAATCGATAACCGTACATTATGCCCACAAATAATACTTTGAGGTTTCAATGATTCTCACAGTAAACAGCAATTATTTCCTTAAATACCATCAACCAACTGATGTGTTTTTCAGATTTAACTCTTTAATATTATTTAGATGAGCTCTGACTTTGAAGGGTTAAAGTTACAAAAATGTGCCTGTTAGGTTCACCATATCTGTGTGTCTATCTGTGCACACAAAACATGGGAACTCCTGAATGAATTTTCATGAATTTCATACTGGGAGATTCACTAACATTAGTCAACTTGTTAGTATTGGTTAATATCAGACAACACTAAATTATACTTTACTATACTGCACTGAGCTATACTACACTACAATACACTATACCAGTGGTATTCAACCTGGGGTACGTGAACCCCCGAGGGTATGCGAAGACATCTTAGGGGGTATGTGAAATTTAAAATATATATATTATTTTATGATAAACACTGAATAATCAGTAATATAATTTATTTTAGATGTAGATTATATACTATGTATAACTTGAATTATACACCAACAACTTTGGGGGTCCGAAGTTGAAGAGAAATTATATCTGGAGGTACGCGAACAAAAAAGGTTGAATACCACTGCATTATACTATACTAATAACTGCCTGCTACAATTCACATAACTCTTATACAGATGTTTCTTACTAGAAATGAACAATCATAGTTTTAAAATGCTTGATCACCTTAACTGTCTAACAAGTTTTTGTAATTCATCGGTTAACAGAACAGACCTGTTTGAAAATACAATCAACAAAGACAGATTAGTGAATAAATGACAATGAAATACATCAATTCACAATTACAACCAAGAAAAACTAGGTGAAAGGTAGTGTAATTCAGTAAAGTAAGAGGAAGAGACTGTGCAGGTGTGCATGTCGCTACTCATCTTCCACATTTACCTGTGTTGGAATCCCAGTGTGTGATGAAGCCATCATGTGAACCTGTGTAGATTGTTTTCCGATCTGGACTCAGACACAGAACAGTGATTGGTTTGTTGTGGCCCTGGCAACATGCATACACACACACACATATTTAGCAATTCCCAGTCTACCTGGAACCATATGTCAGTCCAAAAAGAGTAACTGGAAACTTTCTGTGTCTTATTCAGTACCCAAATCTTAGACCCTTAAGAGGTCAAAAAAAATTAGGCGCCAAAAGAGCAGGGTTTGTTGAACCCTGTCTACATGTATGTGCTACGTACTGCAAATATACTGAATTAACATCAACAAAGTGGAAACTTCGGTAGGAGGAAATGAAGACAAAAATCACAGCTATTACTTAATTATATCAAGAAAACATATCTGTCTGCTGTTCCCTATAAAGCAATAAGAATGAATAAGTAGTGTTGAAATATTGTGCTACCTATTGGCATAAACATGTTTTCTTTCCAATTAAGTTCACATGTCACTAAAGCATCATCTGAATTACCTTGAGTATTCTAATGTGTTTATTGGGGTTGCTGACATCAAGATAATTGATGAAGCCACTGAGTGACACTGACAGCAAATGCTGGCCCTGCCATAAGCATGAAACCTATAAAAACAAATATGATACAAAATTAAGTGAATAAAACTTATTTTTCTACAGGTAAAATGGTGGACTCTACTATGAAGGAAAACACAATATAAGCCACACTTTATCTCCAAGTTTATACCACCTAAAACTAGGATGCACGGGTTATAATCGGAAATATTTATAATGAGATAATTATTCTATATCTTGGTTGATTATAAAGTGCTGCCTTATGATTTTTTACATAACCAAACTTTCCAACAATAGTAAATACATAAGCAACTGTTTTACAGAAGAATGGATGATTAAAACTGAAGGAAATAATGAGAGGCAAAATGACTGTTTGGAAGGTTGCATCATCATCAACATTTTAGCAGTGATATGAGTTGTTGCCCATGCAGCATTGTACCTGGAGTGCCAATACCAGACAAACAGTGCAACTCCCTTGGGCTATACAATTATGAATGATGATTTGTCAGAAAGTGACCACAGCCTGTGTGAGGTACAGAAGTTGTCACAACACCCAGTTTGCAGATTGTCATTTGAATAGGACACCTTTCACATACAGGACAACTACAGTACAATGTTCAATATCAAAGTTGGTATGTTAGAGAAATGTGTACTTACCACAAACAGACTAATGAAAGGGTAACATTTTCTTGTAGTGCGTTGGAATGATGAAGATTTTCTCTTATATTACTCCTTCCTTTTGTAATGAAAAGAGCCATTCCTTTCCTCAGTTCATTTATACATTTTACCTTACTTTAAACAGAACGTTTCTCATATCTACCATTTTCTCCATCAGTTCAGTTTACCTGCTGGTCCTCTACCTGACTGCCCATCATGAACTCCGTTAGCACAGACCTTGTTTCTACATCCCACAACTTGCAAGTCTTATCACCTGATGCAGTGAGGAGTTGCGTGCCATCTGGCTTCCATGCAACCTGTAACGGAAACTTGGAAGGTCATGGGAGAAAGAAGAAATGCACACAAGATACTAGGTACACATCACAGGGACAGGTCACCAAGACCTGTTCAATCCAGACTTTGCTGGCCAGATGATGTCACAATAGATGTAAAACAAAAGGGAAAATGTACAGAAATGTAAATTTGGAGCAGTCGGAAACAACTGGTTTCTACTGTGCACTGTGTATGAGATCTTTTATGCCCTACGCATTATGCCAAGAGCACTTCCAAAGAATAACTTGGCTTCATCACTGTTTTGTTCTTTATAATCTGATAACCATAAATGACAATATAATGGACCAACAATATTAACTGTTCAAATCACCTGTCAGAACTTTTTATACACCCAGAATTTTGTTTCTGTTTTCAATGTTGTGACAGAGCAACACCTATATTTTAACAGAATGCATGAGATGACTTACACTTCAAATTTTTTTTAAACTCAAGTGTCATTTTTGTGTGTGTAAATATCATGATCTTCTGCCACAAAGCTTAACTGGTATAGGCATGTCATAACCATCAAAATGTGAAAGATTAATTATTTACTCATAACAGGACTGAACATCTGATTTGATGTTTTATGTTACACACTACTGGATCCAACCACATTATAAGAATTAGAACATTTGCGGTAAGAAATAGTCATGCTGTAGCATTGATCTGTATGATTGAGAAAACAATACTAAGAATAAAATATAAAGTCAGACCTCAGTACATGAAACTTTTATCCCAAAGAAACTACAGCCCTTCATCACTTGGAGACTAAGACACTTCACTTCCCTTATCACCATCTAATCCGTACTTAATAACCCTTTGCTTCTGGCCCTCTTTCTAAAGGTGCCTAATTTACAGGGGAAAGACTCTAGCACGCCTGGAGGTAATTGGTTCCAGCTTTTTATGGTCCTATTTACAAAGGAATATTTGCCAACATCCGTTATTTGTTTCCTAGTCCTAATTTTCCGACTATGATCGTTATGTTATTTCCCTGCTGGAGTATACGCATTACGAAATGGAGAGCCTTCCATGCTTTAATTAGTGTATAATTTACATGATCTGCCCAGCTCAGATCGCTGCTAATAAGTATTCCTAAGTACTTGAAGCTATTTGCCTCTGAAATTAATTGATCCTCAAAAAGATACCTCAGCCTATCCTTCACCCTAGCTCTATTGGAGCTTACTGCTTTACTTTTACCTGGATTTATCTTCATTTCATTTTCTATCACCCATTCCCATGATCTATTCAAATCTGTCTGTAACTTATCAATGTCACTACTATCCATTATTTTCCTGTATATTATACAATCATCAGCGAAAAGCCGTATATTTTAATCAATGTTTTTCCAAATATCATTAACAAAAGCGAGGAATAGTAAGGGACCTAATATGCTCCCTTGCGGCACTCCTGACGTTACACTGACTCCATGAGATAGTTTCCCGTCCACTCTAACTCTTTGCGAACGTCCTAAGAGAAATGCCTTTACCCATACCACTACCCTCAAGTCCACACCGGTTGCAGCAATTTTTGTAATCATGTGGTACTAAATCGAAGGCCTTTGAAAAATCTATTATAACTGCATCAGTCCTGATTCCCTCGTCCAATGAATCAGCAATATCTTGACAAACTGTGACTACTTGACTTTCGCATGAGTACCCTGTAAGGATTTTTAAACAGCCCGGGAACTAAAAATGAAGGAGATGTGAGGTCAGGTGAATGTGGCAAGAAAAAATCCATGATGTGGTACTGAATATCAATGCTATGTAGAGTATCGGATAAGATCGCATTCAGGTATGATATGTGCCACATAAACCATGGAAGCCACGTTGAGTACCTTTGAAAAATACTTGAATGTTAGGCCACTGATGTGGAGCAATTTGTTTTCAAATATGTAACCTGAACAGAAAGTCACATGCCTTTTAAACTGTACTTCAATTTGTGATCGATCGTGATGTATTATATTTTATTGCTGACACGCCATAAGAATGCATTCTCCAGTCACAGTATAGTCTGGGCTAGTGACATCACTGTTATATAAGCCACAAACTAATGCATTCTGTAATAAACCATATATTTATTGCAATCAGCCCAAACATGGAAGCTTCAAAACCAAAGGCTGTACCACAACCTCTTACAAACACGTTTTGTGCACATAACATTTAAGTCTTTCATAAAATGTACTTAATACTGTAATTCATGTTCTTTAGAAAACAGAGTTATCTGCAAAGTACAAAATACTGCATTATTTATTACATGTTTTTATAAGCAAGTTACAGGGCCTCTACTGCCTGTCATACCTGACAATGCATAAAAGTAAGGGATGCTTACTTTGTATGTGCTATAAAGCAGCACTTAACTACACTGTCACCCCCCCCCCCAAAAAACAAAAAA